TCTACCGTAGCCCACTGAACCGCTCTTTAGATTGGCTACCGCATCTTCGGAACAACATGAGTCGTCCATGTTTTCTACTCATGGGTGACTTCAATTGTCCTGACATTCAATGGCCTGAAATCCAACTCATGCCCGGGTATTCTGAAGTCGAATCAAAGTTTGTTGATTTGTTGCTTGCAACTGGGGCATCGCAACACATATACCAACCTACGCGCGTGACGGCGCGTTCGAACCCATCGTGCCTTGATTTGATGGTGACGAATTGCGAACAGTGGTTGCATGACATACGAATCCAGGAGCCCCTAGCTAAAAGCGACCATTCCGTGCTGATAGCCACTATGGAACTGAACTTGCCGAGTGTATCTCCGGTGGAATCAGCTTACAACTACTGGAAAACTGATTTCGATGGATTAAATCGAGCAGCGAGCCAAATGGATTGGTCTCTACCGCATGTTACCTCTGTGGAGGACGGTTGGACAGTAATAAAGGAAGGATTGGCTTCGCTTTGTTCTCAGTTTGTGCCGTTGACATTTCAGAAATTCGGACCAATCAAACCACACTGGTTCGATAAGGAATATGGTAGGCTGGCTCGATTACGCCGAAGAATGTGGGACGCATTTCGCCTCTCTGGCTCCGCCACTGATTACGAAACATATAAAAGACAGCGAATTATTTGCAACCAAGTGAAATTGATGAAGCGTCGGAAGTTCGAAGAAAAGCTTGCAACTGACGCGAGGATGGCCCCAAAGAAGATCTTTGCTTATGTGAAACGCTGTTTGAAGCCAAAAGATGACGTTTCATGTCTGGAAGACGCGGACGGACACCTGCTAACTTCCAGTTCCGATCGCGCGTCCGCACTGGCCGCTCACTTCGCTTCCGTGTTTGCAAACGACGCGGCGTCCATACCCATCTCAGCGAGTAACATTCCTGTAGTACTCAACAGTTTGGTTTGTGATGTCGACGAGGTGCGCCTGCTACTTGCGAACCTTGACGGTACCAAGCCTGCAGGGCCTGACGGGCTTCATCCGCTTATTATCAAATTACTAGCTGCCATTATCTCGCCTGCTGTTACTGATCTATTCAACAAATCATTGTCTGAAGGCTCATTGCCAAACGACTGGAAGCGCTCGGTGATGAGGCCGATCCCGAAAGGTGGCGACCCCGGTAAGGTGGATAACTACAGGCCAATTTGTCTTACGCCCGTTTTGGCCAAAGTGATCGAGAAGATAGTAAAAAATCATCGAATACATCTGTTGCAATCGAAAGAACTTCTGACACCGGCACAACACGGATTCAGGATGGGATATTCTTGTGTTACCAACTTACTTGTGACGAGACAGGAATGGTTGCAAGCACTGAACCGGGGAAAGTCCGTCGACGTAATCTACATCGACTTCAGCAAAGCATTCGACAAAGTTAATCATGAATTGTTTCTAGACAGATTAAGATCGCGTGGTGTCGGAGGATCGTTACATCGATGGATCCATAAATTTCTCGTTGGAAGAAAGTGGAGGGTACAGGTGGACGACCATCTAACCGATTGGTATCCCTCGACCAGTGGTGTACCTCAAGGTACGGTACTGGGACCCACTTTGTTTCTCATCCATATCAACCAGCTGCCCCAGCTTCTACGGTTGCCGTGTGCACTGTTTGCAGATGACCTCAAAATTTAGCGAGAAATGAATACTCTCGATGACTGTGACATTCTCCAACAAGACCTCGACCGCCTCGCAGTATGGTCTGCTGAAGTCCACCTACCGGTCAACCCGGCAAAGTCCCTATTCATGAATCTCGGGAAGGCTGTTCACGGACGAACGTACACCCTAGACGGCCAACCACTGCATCCCATACCTTCCGTGAAAGACCTAGGTGTACTCTCACGCTGCGACTTGAAGTCCGTCGACAACACCAACAAACTGTATCGAAACGGACTGCGCATGCTCTGGGCGCTGAAACGCAGCTTCTTCACTTGGTCTGGGGACGTCGCCACTCGCCTCTTCCGTCGTCAGACCAATGGTAGAGTACGGCTCTCCTGCATACTGTCCGATCACTCGCGGCGAAGCGCAAAAGATCGAACGAGTACAACACGTCACCACCAAGTTGATCCCCAGCTTGAGAGGCTTATCGTATGAAAACCGGTGCATGAAACTTGGGCTCTACGCCTTGTCATATCGCCGTGTTCGAGTGGATCTTATCATGACCTACCGTATTTTACATCTCGGTCATTTCCCCATGCTGAGGGCGTTACTCCACTTGCGAGTATCATGCACCACACGTGCGCACAGGTACAAACTCGTGGTACCTGATCTGAAGAAAATCCCACCCCCTGTATTTTGAGCGGAGGGTTGTGCACGCCTGGAACACTGCCAGAACACGTCGTCGAGGCCGAATCTGTGCAGAAACTCAAATCTTTGTTGGATTTACACTTCGCTAACATACGTTTCAGAAAACGGTTGCCACTTGACAACGATATCACCCACTTGTGATTCACTGTGTGAACAAGCATTTTGTGTGCTACAGAAGGAGTTGCTAAACCATCTCAGGATAACCACCGGACGTGTTTATTTTTTAAAATGTTTTTTGATTATCACCCGATGGAGTTGTACAGAATTATTTTCTACTTGCTCTAAAATACAGTATTCAGTATTCAGGTGATGCAGGACGAGCCATGGACGGTTAGTTTAGATCCTCCGTCAAGGGCCGAGGTCCGAAACGCGATCACAGTCCACAATCGTTTTCGTGCCGCTGACCAGGATTCCCTCCCACCTGCACTATTTAAGGATGGAGGTGAGGGCCTCTGCAAAGCACTGATCTCCCTATTCCAACCTTTCTGAATGGAAGTGTCCCGGCTGATTGGAGCGAATTGATTGTAGTGGCAATATACAAGAAGGGCAGTCACACAGAATGTTCTAGCCATAGGAGTATTAGCCTAACGCTAGTTGTGCCGAATTTACTGGCTTCCTTTCTCGTTCGTCGCCTCACTGTGGAATGGGAATCTCGGTTTAGGGAAGGGCAGGTAGGCTTTCGTCCAGGACGTGGCTGTATAGACCATATATTCACTTTGCAGCAGGTGCTAGAGCAGTGCCATGCATACCGCATACCGACAATAGCTGTGTTCCTTGATTTCAAGAGTGCGTCCGATTCAGTCGATCGATCGATTCTGTTCAAAATACTTGCGCGGAAATGTGTTCCCACGAAATATGTGTACATCCTTCGTGCTGTATAGTCGAACACTACGGGCCGCGTCAGGGTCTACGTTGACCTGTCGGATAGCTTTCTAAGCACAAGTGGCGTTCGTCTGGGTTGTCCGATTCCTTCCTTTCTGTTCACTTTCGTCGTGGATTCTGTCATTTAGTGTTCCCTTGCGGAATCTCACGATGTGGGCATTGAAGTGCTGCCTGGTGAAGGATTAGTTGATCTTGATTATGCGGCGATACCGTCTAGCTTTTCGACGATGTTGAGGCGGCACAACCAATCTTGGATTATTTTACTAGAGTGGTCCCATTATTTGGTATGCGCTTTGCACCTTTAATGTCCAAAGTGTTGCTGCAGGACCACCAGGCACTGTGTGACCGCTTGATCCTTTCTAACGAGGAACTCGAAGTAATTGATCAATTCACTTATCTTGGCAGCTGCATCAGCAATGATGGGCGCGTAGTAACTGACGTCAGCTCACGGATTGCAAAGGCAAGATCTGTCTTCTTGAACCTGCGGCATCTTTGGCGACAGAAGGGAATTTCTCTCCGTCTGAAAGGCTGTGTATACAAGGCCATAGTGAGGGTCGTTCTGCTCTATGGTAGTGCGATTTGACCCCTTCGGTCTGAAGACCTGGGGTGCCTTCAGTTCCTTTGATCATTGGTGTCTGCGAAACATTGCTGTTGTCGGATGACTCCAGCGTGTCCTCGACGATGGGGTGCGTAGACGAGTACTAGGTAGTGATAATCATGCTAGCTCCTTAGAACAACAGATAACACTGAATAAGTTGCGTTGACTTGGGCACGTGCTACGTATGCCTGGTCACAACTTAGCTTTTAGGGCCTTGTTTAGTCTGCCAGGTGTAGGGTGGCGCAAGACTCGAGGTGAACAGAACTTGACTTGGCAGCTGGAAATGAAGCTATTGACGACCAAACTGGGTGCCATTGTTCCGTCTCCTCTTCCGGGCCGGAATCCACGTGACTCGCCTTGTGCTTGGCTCGGGACTTTACAGGACATGGCTTGCAACCGACACCAGTGGCGCGTCTGTTGCCGTCTCTTAATCGGATTGTGTGGTGCTGAGTTATCTGCGGGGTAATGGCTGATTATCACCCGTGGCAGTGAAAGCCGCAAGGAAGCTGTCTTGCCGATGCCGCCTTATCTTTGCACGATAGCCAGCTGTGTGTGAGACAGTATGTTGTCTGCACAAGGTGTAGGCGCCTTGACTCTGAATGTTTGCTTAGGGCACTAAGATTTTCAGGTAAATGCCCTCTTCTCTTCTTATTCTTTATTTCCTAGGTCCTCATGGTTGTATGGTAGTGAAGCATCAGTTCGAATGACTGATCTACTGCTGTTTTCGATTGATTGTTTGGCTAGGAGCCACCCTCAGTGGCGTTTGTGCTGTGAGTTTATGCGTCCATCCCCCTCTTTTAGCTTCACCTCCAATCATAATATCATAGTAAATTGATTATGTGGTATTTAACATGTCACTTGATTTTTTGAATTTTTGTGATGTTACTTTTCGTATTTCATCCTTTTATATTGCAGCACATTAGCAGAGGCCTGTTTCTTACCCTCAGCTAACGTGTATTGCTGAAGATGATGCATCTACCATATGGCACAATGACGAAGTCAATGGCATCGATTCATTCATTCACTCCAGTCAATTTACTCCTATTGTTTTCAATTCTTGCAGTAATAATTATAACCTTACGACATCATGCGTGGCTTATAGTTTGAAACCTGACTTAATTATTAAAGCGGAGCCTCGGTATGACGTAACACTGCTATGCTATCCTTACTTTCAAGCTTTCATGAATTCCAAATTTTACTTACCCGCTCTGTTCTCTGGTCCCATCGTTTTGACCATTCTTTGTTATTGGATGTTCATGTATGCAACTACATCGTTTAAACTCCTGGTAACAAAGAAGTATCCGCACTACGTCAATTCGCAGTAGCGACCTTTCGCACACGGGCTAAGGATACTGCGAGGATCGCCTGGCCCTCTACGCAGGCTCGAACCCCCCGACCACCAGATTACAAGGTAGGCTTGTGATCCTTAAGGCCACGAGCCACGGCCTCAATGTTGTTTCCGCATTCTTCAGTTGTTTGCTTTTGGGCTGTTTTCCTTATGTCAATGTTTCTCTTCTTTGCCCACTAGCTGTTTTACCTTCCTGTCTGCTGGCACAGGCTACTCATGGGGCGAGTCTAATTTGCTGCTACTGCGCATCCTTCTCTCGAAGCCTGCTTGCTTACGGAAACGTCATTTTCTTTGAACTGAAATGTCACTTATCACGTCCACTAGGTCGATCTTTGTGTATGGAAGGTTAATTGATTATTGCTTTCCAAGCTTACTTCTACCCACGTCCATTAACCAATTTCATAAACGGTTCATTGGAAAATCCTCCAAAGTAATTTATCCATGGATGAACAGGCGCAAACCGTATTGGGTGGATCAAGAGGCTGATCCTCGTTCCGATGAAGATTTGACGCAAGAAAATAAAGCATTTCTGGAGGCTGAGCGTATGCGTCTTTTGGCAGAGCGAAAAAGCCCTCTCATTGCCGAACAATGGACTCAAAGCTCATGGATTCCGAATGTCACTCAACGCTGTGGTCTCATTGGCATAAAATTGGGCATGTATCCATTGTGGACGAAAGAAGGCAAGAAGTTGGACTGCACCATCATCCAAGTAAGTCACTTGGCAGCGTATTGATAACTAACGCTGGATCAAACTTATGGTGAACGCACTTCGTTCTACTGGGCAGGTGTTAACTATTCCTTTATCATCTGTTTATTGGCTAGATAACTGCATACCTTTCCCCACCACACGGAGTGGCATCGTCAGTGCGGTTGTGTTGGGCCATCTTCTCTATTGAATCGTCCTTCCCTGATCGACTGACAGGTGATACCTTCGACTTGCGTCCCGTGATCTTTGATCCTTTTTCCAGGTGCCTAAAGCGCTCACTCGACTTGTGCGTCGCATGTCTTTCGAAATTTACCTTCCGATTCTCAGCTGATCTGTCTTTCTCAGTTTTGGGCGCAGGGACTCGATGTTAGTGCGCACTTTTATTGAATTATTGGAAGCGAACAATGCTTCTAGGAATTCTCTTCCTTTTTGTATCACTTTTTTAGCCAGAAAAGCCGGTGGCCGAGTGGTCTGTACGCCTTGTTTATAGTCATATAGTCACCGATTCGAATCCGCATAGCGGTGGGCGTCCTCGCGGTATACTCAGCCCACGCCCGGCTGGTGGCCGCGGGGCAGTGGATGCTTTTATGGCTTGAAGCTGAGGATTATTTTTTATTATCTTTAGCCAGAATCTGTTTTATTGCCATTGGAGCTATGCCCCTCCTCACCATTATGCGCTGAGACCAGTGAACATTCATAATGCCTTTTACAGGCCCTTTGATATTCGTGTGTACTCGTCGATACTCTCCTTTCTGTCTATCCCACGTAGTTCTTTTCACGTGCACTGCTATGGAAAAGGTGTCTCAGTGCGAACGAGTTGTGTATTGGAGAACGAACATATACATGATATAACATCTGTAACAGAACTGTCGGACTCATTTACGCACATCATTCACGAGGCTATTTGATTCCACGCTGCGGCTTGTGCTATCGACTCAACTTGCCGTGACGGTACTATATAGGTTCAACGCTCCAGCGCTATCCATTTTCAGGACTAGTTGAACTGTACGCTACGCGCCTGTCGTCCGTAGTAATCCATTATTCGCTGAGTTTATCGCGCCTTCTGGTTTCACCATACTACTCATAGGTAGTGCACCACACTCCACCCTCCCTAAAGTATCCCCGGCCGTTGACCTCGCACGCAATCTCTCCGATCTTCGGGGCTACCCCATGCATGTCCTAGTTTCCTATCGTCGCTCATGTCACTTCCTCAATTCTCTAGCCTGAACTCGCGTGTATCTTCATGTCGAGCGATGGTGTTTACGGGGACTCGTTCTTCCCTTACGTCATATGGTCCCTTCCACTTCGGGAGGAGTTCCCTCTTGCCTGGGGCACATGCGGCCGCGCGTTGGTGATCTCTGTAGTTTACATTCAAACCTTTTGGAAAGTCTCTGGAAGGTTTTTCATGTTGATCCGGGGCTGCCTTCAGGTTTAGCTTTGCGACCTTCCTGTTTTTCCGTGCTTTCCTCGGCGGTAACTGGCAGCTCGGCCACCTTCCTACCTCTGGATCCACGGGAATTAGAGTTGCACGACCGTACATTAACTGAAATGGTGATTGCCTCGCGCTTGCTTGATTGGACGCCCGGTGAGCTAGTAAAAGGCATCATCATCTAAAAATACCCTAAGACTACAGAGTTCGGAACTGGGGTATCTCGAATTGCCAATATTTTTCCGGCAGCGGCTTTAGCTCACCCTGACCCACCTTGTGACCAAGCATTGTCATGGACGTATTTCAGACTTGGGATTTAGGACCGTGATCCCGACTGTTGGCTCCAGGAGACTGTGAGTCATTGGTGGAAGGGACGAGATGCACGGCCCTCATGGCCGTGCTAGGCTCAAAGAATGGTTCCATTCATTGTGGAGCGGACTACGGCTCAGCCACCGCCTCGTGTACTTCTGGTACGCATGATTCTCTACATGGGTAGACAAGAATGCTGTTGCTGTGCATGTTTAAGAAGTGTACGCCGGCAGCCTTCATGAAATGTGGCTCCCATCCACAAGCCTATCGGTCTTATTCCTTCGGATTTACGCTGTATATGGGGTGTGTGGTTGGGGCTGTGAGCCGTGTAGCGCAAGCCACCCATGTTCCCTCAGTAGGCGCGGACGTCCTGCGACTTTACTGTGGAGGTCGCAGTGACAGACGCATCCGGAATCGCATGCCGCCAACCATGTGTAGGTAACCATGTTAAGTGGATTTGTGAGATGTGATCACCAATGTAAGCAATGATCAAAAGAAGTCTTTGAATCGGATTACCTTCGTGAAGTGCGTAAGATCCTCCGGAAAATCAAGGAGCGGTGACTTTATTATGTGGCGAGTCACAACCGCCGCTTCTCGGTGTTGTTCAACATTTGTAACTTTTTATAGGCAGAATACTTACCAGGTGGGTAGCCACGACGTACTGAAACACTACCGCCGAACTGTTAGATGGAACGGGATTAACCGGAACCACCCAGATGGCACCACATGAAGGTTGTTCGGCTAGCCAGTAACAGGGTTTAGTGGGAGCGCGGCTAGAGTGCGGCCATACGGCAGTTCACATAACATAACGCTCTAGAGAAAAAGTAGATCATGTGGACTTACCTTTATCCTTACCTGTACCTCGGATGTCACGTCAGCCGCAGCAACGGTAGCCCATTATGTATCGGCCAGTGACTGAAAGGATCATGGTCTTCAAGTCCCTGATTCAAGCTTGTATAGGTCCTGGCGACTTCGTGATGCTCGCGTGGAGGTGAATCATAGGCACGGTGTGTTAACGTACAGCTGATGTCTTTTTCTCTCTATGGTCGTGATGTATAACACCGCAACGCGGACTATTCTGTCCGGTAGATCATCTGGATAATCCTCGCTGTTCACTGGCGGTACAACCACAAGAATGCTATTGTGATCCACTCATGGTGCTTGCCATCAAAATCTGATACCACATGCGATCGTTCTTATATTTAATCGCGATTTGTCACCCTCTTTTTGATGTTTAGATTCACAATTCCTTTCACTTATCTAACTGATCCGCGCACCGAAGTGCGGTGGATCCAGTTGTCACGAATGGCGTCGCCAGGATAACAATACGTAACAATAATACGCACATAAAGTTGAACGCAAAGAAGGTAGAGTCTACCACCCATTCAACCCTACTATGCGGTCGCGAAACCTGGCCCTTCAGATCGACAGACAAAGGAGGCCAGTTACACTCGAACACTGGTGTCTTCATAGTGTAGATCACATCACGTGGGAACATAGCGTGAGCGATAACAGCATTCGTTGTCTTGTCATTTTGTGTAAGTCGCGTGAGTGAGTTACTCAACACCGGTAATTCATGCTCCAGGCTCCGATGGAGCTTGGGCATGTGTTGCGCATGTCTGTAAACCGATTCCCGCCATGCTCGTTTGCGCGTCCGGGGTCTGGAAGACAACAGAGAGATTCAGACGAACTGACTTGCCCAAGGGGACTGTAGGCTATTAGTGCCTCCAGACTCCATGGTTGGTGATCTCATGTGCTAAACAAATTTGGTTAGAGACAGCATAGAAATTAGTGGACTTCAGTGGCGTTTATGTTGGGAGTTTCTTTGTTTCCCCCTCCCACTTTGCCCCTCCCCGTACCATGATCACATTCTTGACATGCGAAGACAACAGCAAGAATCATTTGTTCCGTTATTTTTGTCCCTTTCTTTGCAGTCATCCATCGCAACGAGACGACCTTAACGTGGCGCAAGAGTTCGCGGACCTCTGTGACCCATTGAGTTACGCTGGGTGGCACTTTTCAACTGCATTCAGAGCCACTCATACCAGACATTTCAATGCATAGGGGCCAGGCTAAACCAGTTTCACGACCAAATTCTCTTCGGAGATTATGGAGAAGTCGATGGCCCTATTTCTTTAGAAACGTAGCTGCGGGAGACAACAAGTCTACAGGTTATAAGCTCACAGCTCGATTGGCGTAGAGCACGAGTGCAACCCTTTGTCTCCGACGGTGAGAAGACCTTCCGATGCTTAATGGTTTGCTACCACCGCCTCAAGCCAGGCAGCCCCTCATCGTATTGGTGCAAAGTCGCCAACTCCTACATGCGGATGGTCGTAGTCTCAGGTGCGTAACGTAATATGGTCATAAAACGCATGTGCATTGTTCTAACTCTTCAAAGACTGTATGCGATAGGCTTCGAGCGGATCACAGCGGGTCTCTGTACTCACACTCCCGAACTAGACTTGCTCCCCACCGTCTTGTGGATCAGGCTATTGAGCCAAAACTCCTGGTGAACTCACTAGAGCGGATTTCCACGTATCCCACTGCCTTGTGAGTCAGATTGTTGAGCCGAAGGCTAGAGGTAGGATACCACGAACAAAGCCACACTCGGAATGAGCAGTCGGCAAGTATCATTTGCCCACTCGACCACGTCGACCATTCTTTTTCCTCTCAACTCTCTTCTTCCCCGTTTATTGAGAAAGAATATGCTACTGACCGCCCCTGCTGCCATCGATACTCGTATCTCGTCCATCATTTCACAGATTCTTTTAACATCTTCACTTAGGATCAGACCGGTCAACAGGCAGCACTTTCTCTCATTCTTCACTTTTTTGGTATTGGTGTGAGTTGTGTCTCCGAAACACGTATACAAGATAACAGTCTTTGGACGAATTTTCCACCACCTGTTTCCGAATCTGACGAAAACGACTACATTCTTTGCGTTTCTGGTAATACTACGTCAATGACTTGACGTGTTTACGATCTTGGTATCGATCTCAGGAAACACGCTGAAGGTAATCTACATGACTGGGTACCGGTGAACAGCCACATATGTACGGCTCGACTTCGAATTTCTATTGAGGTTAACCATCACCGTATGAACACAACTGCCTATTAACTACCTCCGTTTATACACCTACTGACTGCATTTCAGAAGGGACCTAGGACGATTTCTATCACCATCTTTTATCTCCTCTCCGTGTGTCGAAGAATACTGACATTGCGATTATTACTGGTGACTTGAATGCCCAAGTAGGTCGTCTTTCAGATCCTGAACAACATCTGGGAAGGGGGACGCTTCGGGATCGATGCATGCCGAACAGACAGTGGTGATCAACTCCTGCAACTGTGCGCCAATAACAATCTTTATCTTACAGCACTACTTTCCAGCACAAACGTTCACACCGCGTCACCTGGTGCCCACCGAATTCCTTAATGACTTGGACCCAAATTGACTATATTGTCATTAGCTAAGGATGATGCACATCAGTCCAAGACTGCCGGAGTACGTGCCTGGAATGCAACAGTGCCCTAGTGCGCGCACGCCAGGCACTCACCCTTCACGCTTCAAAGCAGCGCGTATCCTCTAACCTTCTTACCTGTGACTTGAATCAAAGTCTGCTGTTCATCATTGATGTATGAGGTTGATGAGCCGAACGCTGTCTGGGATCTTCTCAAGTGTGCCATGACGTTTGCTGTGCACCCGACTTTAGACGTCGTAACTGTGAATTGGTCTCTGAGGCATTACTCAGTTTTATCGAAGCACGTCAAGGGTTTCAATAGGCACTGACTTTCGTTATGTCAGTAACTCCCTGAACGGATGTCTGATATGGAGTCTTCGAATTGACTGGGGACTGGGGGAGGGTTGCAATGGCTCATGAGATGGAAAAAGCCAGTGCTGTTGGAAACAATCGAGTGCTATTCCAGCTCATCCGGAACACGGGCCTGTGAAAGCCATCATTTAGCGAGTCAATATTTGGGCTATATCAACAGTTGAACCATTCTCAGCTTCGTTGACTAGCCCGTTGGGCGGGCAGTTCAGCAGGCTTGCTCCAACACTGTCGGCTTGCCGAATCAACTGAGCCTACGTGGGAAGTTGATGTCACATCTCCTACTTGGGAACAGATTCCACGTGAACTTTCCGTGTTGAAACAAAACAAGGCTCCTTGACCCGACGATCTACTATCATCTTCAGTGAAAGCTCGTGACTTTTTTCATTGAATTTGCTTCACTTTTTAAAACGATTTGGGACACTGAAGGTGTGTCTTCAAACTGACGACTGTCAACTATCGTGCTGATCTTCAAGTAGAGCCAGCGCTTTTTGTGCGAAAAGTATCGGGACATTCGCCTTATTTTTATTGCCTCCCAACTTCTCACGAGTATCATTCTTTGACGACTTACTGGCCCCCATGTTTACCGAATCACTGAAAGCTAGGCTGGCTTGCGCTCTGGTCATGGTTGCATCGGCTACCTATTTACTCTTCACCAAGCGTTAGAGCAGAGACGTATAGACAACCGATTATGATGTTTTTTCTTGACTTGGAACTCGCCTTCGACTTTGTCGACCGCGCCAGCTTGTGACACTATCTATCCATTTATTTATTATCCATGAAGGGCATGTCATCTGAACTCCCATCCTGAAGTTTCTCTACCGTGATTCCCGCGGTTGTGTAAGTGTCTACGGGAAGCTGTCTCCTGAGTTCCCCACGACAAGTGTGGTTGTTCTGTGGTTGTCCTAAATCTTTGTGCTGTTGATCATGAGACTCGGCTCTTTAAGACTACTCCAGAATGGAACTTTTGTCAGGTGATCGACTCGGATCTCCTCGGGTCAGACGCATTGGTTATACAAACACTACTGCTCAGACTTGTGCATAGTGCTTCACGCTTCTACATATTCTTGGCACAGCTGCAGAACTGAGCCGACACATGTTGGCTTCTAGCTATCACCGGACAGCCACGGGAAGTGGTGGATCGGTTCACTTGCCATGGTAGCTGTGTCACCTCTGGTGGTCAATCACTGAGGAAGTTATTTCACATATTAGCAAGTCCCGTTTGGCTTTCCAGAGGCTCAACCATCTATGGCGTCGACGAGATATCAGCCTGTCATTGAAAGCTAGGGTGTATAACGCTACGGTAATGCCGGTGCTACTGTATGGAGCAGAGTCCTGGGCAATTCGCGGCGAAGACATTAAAAACTTGGCCGTGTTTAACCACCGGTGCTTGCGGAGTATTGTTCATATTTGTGGGGAAGAATGGGTAAGCAATGCTGCTTTCCGGCAGTTGGTTTTTGGCGAGAAGCCTTCTGGTGCCTCACTCATGTGTTTACTGAATCCTAATCGTTTTCCTTGGCTAGACCGTGTCCTCCGTATGCCCGTATGCCCGGTTTTCTCGACGTACATTATACACCGTGGGTGCACCAAGTTGGGTGAAACTGCGAGGTGGCCAGTCCATGACTTGGCATAGTGGCATGAAGAAATTGACAAAGAGACTCGGTTTGGTTGTTGCGCTCCGTTGCGGCTGGGCAGCTCGGTATGGTCCACACCAAATTGTACGCTTGTCAGAGATCGCTCTATCACGCAGTCGGTGGCATTCCTGCATTCGTTTCCTTGCATCTGGTTGTTAATCTTCGTTCCATTTCCTTCTTGTTTCCATTTTCTCTACATTCTATTTAGATTCAACATCGCTGTCTTGCCCTTGTTATTTTTGTGATGTGAGTCGTAACTGGATCCACCGCACTTCGGTGCTCCAGTCAGTTTTTCAACTGAACTGAGCTGATTTACACTCATATAATTGCTTCATGTTGTTGCCCAATATATGAGGTGTATCTCGCCTCAAGTTAACATGTGGAATGACTGTTTTAACTCTCCACAGAAACCAGAAGACGGCTAATGATGCGTAAACGAAAATCCGTATTTTGGAAGACTGTTGTAACGCTCATTTCGTTCGTTCGTGTTGCCTCTGTAGTTAACCGCCAAGCCTCGCCTTTGTTCTCTGCTTTCTGCTTTGCTACTACTAAGGCGTTCACCTACCTTCCTGCAGTACGAGGCTCACGAATACTGACATGTGCGCGTCTTTTGCCTTGATCCCTTAACGTGTGCGCTTTGCCCCCCACTTTGGTTGTGCAACCGTCCAGCCCAGCCCGGGGAAAAGCAGAATACGTACTCGACCCACAAGTGTCTATTGGGTACGAGGAGGGTTGATATTTATAAGACACTCACCAATTTTTGTGGCGCAGCCTGGCTGATCGACCCTTGACTGTCTGCTCGCTTGGCGAAACCCGGCATTGCTCGGCTGGTACGATGTCGTGCGATTTCGTCAACTTACTGTTTGACCATGGCAATGAATCTGTCAGCCGCACGCGTGAACTGGTTAGTCTCGCCCTACTAAGTTGCACCATCGTAGTCGGCCGGTGGCCGAGTGGTATGCGCATCTGATTTGCAACCATGTCACCGATTCGAATTCGCGTAGGGGCTGGCGTCCTCGTGGTATACTCAGCCCACGCGGCACTGGTGGTGGTCGCGTGGCAGAGAAGCGCCGTTACGGCGTACAGCTGGCGATTTATTGTAGTTTTTTAGTCGGCGGTTTTGCCTCCCTGACAGAGACATTGTGTGTCTTTTGCATGCTGGGAAGGCGTATTCCAAACCGAGGTACTTGAAGCTTCTACTCCTCTGAGCAAGTCTCCTGCTTAGATTTAAGCACCCCGGCCTACAGCCACTTGCTGTCACATCAAACCTGAATTGCTTGGCACCTTCCAGAAATCGATGGCACCTCAACTGTTGCCCCTCCACTCTGTGACAACGATCTTCTATTTTTTCATTTAGATATTGATTGTCCTTAATCATCATAGCTGCATGAGCTGAATCGTTTATCTTCTAGTGGGCAACTAATAAACTGCGCGACGGAGCCACCTGGGTTTATGAGCACCTTACAAGTGGATGCATTTTCAGCCTCGAGTTGCTATTCTAGGTAATCTTTAGTAGTAGGGCTTTTGAGTGTAATGTGGATATTGTTCATTGCAGTCGCCTCTCGTTCAGGCACACTCCCACACGTGTGGAAAAGCACTAGACGGCCGTTTCAACCTTAAGATCTAGGTACTTTCCTGGGTAGATCGATGGTGGTATATCTATTCTTATGTTTGCGCAATCAGTCCCTCTCAATCTGTTATCTGTTATTTCGTGTGAATTGTCAGGTTTTGGGCCCTATCGAAATCTGTTATCTCCGTACTACCGTTTCTGCATTCCATTCATTCCTGTAACCTCGAGCACAATTACTTACCGGATCTCAGGTCTCCATATATATTGCAAGAGATTTGTCAGCAGTGGTTTATTAAATAAATAGATGCTGAACATGAAGTCGATTTTGAAACCGGCGAGGCCATCAGGAGGGAGTTGTGATCAACCTCACGTAAGTAATTGTTGAGGCGATGCAAATTGCCAAAGCCCACAACCGAGCTGATAGAATAGATGGGGTACGCAGATCGGGGGATTCGCGTTCAATCTTACTCCGGCAAAGTTGATCGTAGTTGGCGGATGGGTCCCGATTTACCCATCCACTTTTCCATCAGTCGTTGGACCAGTTTTCCCTCAATGGTTCATTTAAGCTGGCAACCTGAACTACACCTATAGTCCCCTTATTGACAACATTTTGTTTCGAATTTCGTCAACATTTGGTATAAAGTGTTATCCAATTTTTGTCTATTTCATTTGACCTGATATCAAAAAGCGCAACGTTGTACAGAAAATGCATAAAGCGATTGTTAACATGCCATTCTGAGATGCTGACCTTATGCTTCTATTTCTCTTTCCAGATCCCTGATAACCATGCGCTTCGATACGTTCCCCCTGCCAAAATAGACGATTACCTCAGCCTGCGGGATCCTCGGGGTTATTGGTTCAACGACAAGCAAGTCCCGTCCTGGATCACTCAACGTCGTTGGGGGCTACAACTAGTTGGGGCTGTCAGCGCAGACCCATTGGAGTTCACTCCAGCTTGGTGTGGTTTGTTTAACGAGGCCGGAGTGCCACCGAAAAGGAAAATATCACGTTTTCTCGTCAGTCCTGATGCGGCTTTGAAGCCAGGTAATTTAATTCAAGCAGTCAGCTTCACTTTGATGATGATACGTTGCCGTTTTATCTCGAGATCCCTTCTGATCGCGTTTGCATTTTGTGATTTAGAATACCTAATTTCTGGCATTTTGTTTTTGCTACCACCAGGCAACAATCTCAGTTCGTAGAGCTTTGCGGAATGTTATCCTAATCTGTTTTTGTTCCCATATATTCCTCACAGGCCTGTTGCATTGTGTGGATGGTTTGTTGTCCATTGGAATGAGACATTACTCGTTTTGTCCTTAGCGCATCGGTGTAGCCTCTTGACCCAAGTGCTTTCTGATTTGATTATACTTCGATAAATTCACGCGCGGTTCGGCTTCTTGCCCTTCCTATCATTTTGATGTTTCCAACACGAATTGGTTATTGTCAGCGTCCACATACGTAGACATCAATCATCTCTGGTCCTGTCGACGAATGGCTGGGCTTTGTTCATGTGGCCGTGTGCTTCCGCGATCATCAGTATATGTAAATCACTCCATTTTTTCGGCTCAACTTATCCATAACTTTAAAAAGCTCGCTGGGAATCGTTTTCTTCGCTCTATGTGCAGCTTCCATTAAGAAGCAACACATTTTTCATTTCCACTAGCGAAATTTCTCCGACAGAGTGTTGTTGTCTTTTAGAGTAAGAGTACGCATGTTGCTCAGATGATCCACCCAACGTCCCAATCCATATCTAGAGCTACAGATATTTCTAGTAATTACTGTATTGTTTCTTGTCTCACGTTAATTATTCGAGGCTGACACTCGTAAATTATATTTGTGCACATTTGGCTCAATTTATTCATAATGAAACAGTTTATTTTCGAAGAGTAGTGATTAGGCACTTCTGAGAGTATATAGTCACTTTATCAGTATCTATCCCTGCTTGTATTTGTAGCGAACCATCTTGGCATAACTTGAGCCACTATGATGATAGAGAGAGAATTAACACAGGTTATGAACAAATGGGAAAGTGGTCGACTAACTCACATACAGACGCAGTGGAAGATGAGTCTGGAATAATGTAACACAGCATAATGGCACGAATATTTCTGGAGATTGGTACCTTTCAAATGAAAACGCTAGGTCTGCACCCGAAAAGACGATGTCGCCTGCTTGTTTAGCCTTTGGACACATTGCAGAGGTAGTGCAGGCAGGCAATCGAACGGGTGTCAATGATTTGATGGTTGGCCAGGTATGAAGAGATATTGCAGCGCTGCTTCATTTAACCGCGGATTTTCAAAGCAAATATCATATTTAGGGGCAGACAGTACCAATCCGTGCTTGCAAGACTATTGAGTGGACAATGCTTATGCCCCTCGTTGTTTGAAGATAGATGTTAAGTGTTACCCTCTCATCTCGGTCAACGGTCGACGCCCAAAATTCTTCAGATCCAGATGTTATGCCAGAGTGAATCACAGTCCACAGTGAGATTGCCCGTCGCCATCCACTCGCACAACGCGTGCTTCAAAAATACCCCCTAACAACTCATTATTTGTTTGGGTACGACTCACCTATCACCTCACCAAACAATCTCTAAATATCGCTATATCGCAGTTTGGTATCGGTCATGGCGGTCTGCTGCCGTCACCTATAGCTCGATGGCATAAGTCGCTGGCTCGCAAGTTAGGTCATAGGTTCGAGTCCGGCAGAATTCGGAAGGTGTGCGCTACTGACGAATCGCAACAGGACGAAACGGCCGTGTAGCGCTTCCCTGGATGTGTGGTGGCTGTCTGACTTAGTCGAATTGCGGCGGTTCTTCACAAAATCTCTTTTTGTTGTATCACCTACTTCCATTAGGTCACACTTTGAAAGTCTGCTGATTTGCTGCTTCGACATGTATTACTTGGTGTTGTCGCGCCTGGTTGGTCGCACTTTCGCGGTAACCAGCCAAAGAAGTCAGTGCGTCAAGTATTTGGTCGTTGAGATCGGTTAAAGTTGCGGTTGGAGGTCTATACGCTGAGTCAGCGGCGCCCTTGTTTCCAGTTTCCCAATTATCTTTGTCAACGTTCTAGTCCTATACTTCTAGTTCTTTCTTTCTTCTGACCGATCTTCTGTAAACTCGTTTGCCTTTTATTTGTTCTCAGTTTCACTTTTCATGGTGTCATGTCATAGCAACTTGGGTCCACCCAACTTCGGCGTCCTGATCGAATTTGTTCACCTGAATTGAGAGCCACGCCACATCTTTCATCACCGGATTAATAGGGAAAAATACGTCTATTACCAGCCACTTGGAATGACCGGTGGTGCACCACCTACATTTGTGCCGCCACTTTCCATTTTTATTGTGCATACCATTTACCTATATGCTCTTCCCCTTGCTTCAGCCCCATCAGTGGCGCTTGCAGACAGGTTTATTTTGATCTATGTATCCCCGAATCACTCCACGATCCTCCACAACCATTTCGATTCAAACGGAGAGAGAGGAGGACGGAGATGACACCTATGCTTGCACCATCCATACTGCCTTTACAGTTACAACGTGTATATATATATATATATATATATATATATATATATATATATATATATATATATATATATATATATATATATACGTTGTAACTGTAAAGGCAGTATGGATGGTGCAAGCATAGGTGTCATCTCCGTCCTCCTCTCTCTCCATGCATCAGATCATCTAAAGGACAGAATCAGGAAAATGGATAGCCGAAGTGAAGTCAGACTGATCACCGTCTCGATGCAACTCGGATTGACCGTATAGGTTATTGGGTGATGGGGCGAAGCCACGCACATACACACAGCCGGTCCACATTGCACCAGCCGGTACGCCGTACCAACGCTTCGCTGCCACGCAACCAGCACCAGTCACGCATGGGCTAAGGATACTGCGATGGTCGCCCAGTCCCCTGCGCAGGTTCGAACCAGTGACCTCCAGATTACTAGGCAGGCGTGTGATCCATTCGCTCATCGGCCGATTGGTCATGATCCATGTGACCGAGACAGTTAATGACGTCGTAAATTAGTGTCAAAATGTTTCTCTACACACACACATGGTTGCCGGCATCCGGTTTCGGATTTGCCTGTCACTGTGGTCAGCCACAGGACGTCTGCGCCTACAGAGGGACCATGGATGGCTTGCGCTGCACCACCCACAGCTCCATCCACACACCCCAGTGGAATAAGACCGGGAGGCATGCGGATGGGAGCAACGCTTCATCAACGGAGCCGGCCCACACTCCTTCACAGACAAACACAAGCACGCTGTATTTGGGGAATCAAGCGCACACAAGGCGGTGGCTGGACCGTAGTCCCCTCCACACTGACTGTATGGAACCACTCTTCGAGCCTAGCACGACCACAAGGACCGTGCACCCCGTCCCCTCCAGCAACGACCAACTGTCTCCTGGAGGCGGTATGGACGAGGTAGTGGGTAGTAGACAGGTAGGCACCTTGTCAACATGCACATCAAGCGCATCCACACCGGGGATATCAAACAACAGCCAAACACTTGAGAGAGAAAGAAAAAGAGAAAAACTCGATCAATGCATAAGGAAACGGTGACACAAACCTTAATTAAATAGCATATATAATAAGTTGTTTACAAACAAATCCTAGCTAAGTGCACGAGGTCAGAAAGTATAGTTCACGGAATACCACGAACACAAATATGCTACCGAAATCTAATACAATTGGCTTAAGCGAAGTGTGCAAGTTAATGGAATAGAGTATACGTAGATATCTATACGAGAAAGAAAAGCATTAAGGCAAAAGTGAAAACCCACCACCTGAAATAAAGAGACTTAGCATGCAAGCACGAGGTTAGCAAATCGAATTCAGCGTGAATACAAACGCTGCGCCGGCTCAGCGTACTTTTCTGCAGGACCCGTCGTCGCTTCTGTAGTGGTCGCGAATGGCCTAGCTCATGGCCCACTAGACATTTATATGAGAAAGAAAGGCATTAGGAGAGAACCGAAAACCCACCACCTGAAATAAAGACTTAGCATGCAAGCATGCGGTTAGAAAATCGAATTCAGCGTGCCTACAAATGCTGCGCCGGTGATGCCTACGTTCACTGCGGGACCCGTCGTCGCTTCGGCAGTGGTCACGAGTGACCTCTCTCATGGCTCACTAGGCCTGCTTGACTAAGGCACTCGCGACCGCATGTTCTACAGCACCATGAGCTCGATGTCAATGGAGTACAATTCATTGGTGCTTGTATATATATATATATATATATATATATATATATATATATATATGTATATATATATATATATGTATATATATATATATATATATATATATATATATATATATATATATATATATATATATATACAAGCACCAATGAATTGTACTCCATTGACATCGAGCTCATGGTGCTGTAGAACATGCGGTCGCGAGTGCCTTAGTCAAGCAGGCCTAGTGAGCCATGAGAGAGGTCACTCGGGACCACTGCCGAAGCGACGACGGGTCCCGCAGTGAACGTAGGCAGCACCGGCGCAGCGTTTGTAGGCACGCTGAATTCGATTTTCTAACCGCATGCTTGCATGCTAAGTCTCTTTATTTCAGGTGGTGGGTTTTCGGTTCTCTCCTAATGCCTTTCTTTCTCATATAAATGTCTAGTGGGCCATGAGCTAGGCCATTCGCGACCACTACAGAAGCGACGACGGGTCCTGCAGAAAAGTACGCTGAGCCGGCGCAGCGTTTGTATTCACGCTGAATTCGATTTGCTAACCTCGTGCTTGCATGCTAAGTCTCTTTATTTCAGGTGGTGGGTTTTCACTTTTGCCTTAATGCTTTTCTTTCTCGTATAGATATCTACGTATACTCTATTCCATTAACTTGCACACTTCGCTTAAGCCAATTGTATTAGATTTCGGGAGCATATTTGTGTTCGTGGTATTCCGTGAACTATACTTTCTGACCTCGTGCACTTAGCTAGGATTTGTTTGTAAACAACTTATTATATATGCTATTTAATTAAGGTTTGTGTCACCGTTTCCTTATGCATTGATCGAGTTTTTCTCTTTTTCTTTCTCTCTCAAGTGTTTGGCTGTTGTTTGATATCCCCGGTGTGGATGCGCTTGATGTGCATGTTGACAAGGTGCCTACCTGTCTACTACCCACTACCTCGTCCATACCGCCTCCAGGAGACAGTTGGTCGTTGCTGGAGGGGACGGGGTGCACGGTCCTTGTGGTCGTGCTAGACTCGAAGAGTGGTT